AAAAAAAAAAAAAATAATAAAATTGAGGAAAAATGAAAAAGAAAAAAGACAACCATATGGGGAAACACGGGCGGAATATCTAAGCCAGCCCACCAAATCTTTATTGGGTCCCACATATATATTCCCTACGCTTTCTCAAGTTTGGACTTTTGCTAAGAGCTCGGTATTTCGCGAGAAGTACGAAGCAGTGCGGTATTTTGTTCAATTTCTCGTGAACTTTCTGTCTTGTCCTTTTGGGATTTTCCCCTCGCGTTACGGCCTCATTAATGGAGGGACGGTTGGCGGGTCGGGGGTGGCCCAACTATGTATTGTGGGCTTTTGGTTTAATTGGCCCAAATTATGTATTGGCCATCTCAGTTTAGGTCTAGCATGGCCACAAATTACGGATTGTGGGCTTTCCGCCGTGCCGTTTTTAACTTTTGAGTATTTATACTAACTACTAACTATTAAAATTAGAGTTTTAACGAGTTGAATTATATATATTCATAAAACTTCATACTTCTTCATATTCTTTTTAAATGTCTTTATGTGATTTAACACATAAATAAAGAAATTTTTTCTCGCCAATGTTAGTCTTATTTAAAGTATATTAACATGAATTAATTTTGTTTTTTTTTTCACTTGTTTTATGTTCTTTTAAGAGAGAAAATTCATCGTATTACACAACTTTTCTCTTAAAACGTGGAGTGTATTAGTTAAATAAGGGAAACAATGAAAAATATGTATAAAAGAGCCAAAATGTCATTTATTTGATTAATGGTCAATAAAGCCAAAATGACGAATAAAAAGAATAAGAGGGATATTTTGTGGTCTTAGTGACCCGAGCTCACAAATGGTTCGTTTCTTGTAACACTATAATCATAGGACATTGCCCTTATCATATAGATGTGCAAATTGTCTCTCGACCAGGTTTGGACAAAAAATAACACGAGTCGGTGCTCAATTTGAATTTTGATGACCTGCAAAAACGCGTTTGGAGAGGTTTTGGTGGAAAACCTCCGACACCCAAGTCAGATCTTGCTCGTGAGTTAAAACTGAGATGTGAATATAAATTGCATGTTAAATTGTAAATAACCTGGTAACCTCCTTTTATAAGATTGTGTTGTCTTTTTACCCACGTAGCCTCATTACAAGGAAAATGATCTCCTCGGCTTCTTAATATGACACTTTTCTGACATCTTTTATTCCTTAGTGAGCTTTTGTTTTCTAATTTTCTCGTAGAAAGTGGTTGTCCAGTTCTTGAAGGGAGCCAAAGATATACTTGCTATCCTATCAGCAAGTCCTTAGTCCAATTCATCACACTGACCTCACGACTCAGTTATCCTAGTCATTACTAGTCTTTAGGCGACCTTTGTTATACGATTTCCAGGTCGTGACTACGCCGCTTCTAATCGAGCTCTCAGCTGAGCATAACTAATTTCTAGCTTGTACCTAGAGTTGATCCGTATCTCCAGCTGTTATATTGAGCTCCTTGTCGAGGTCAAACTTTGTTGCCAAGCTAGAAGCTATCCGAGACCGGTTTACCCGAGGTAACCACTATAACAGACCCACCAAGCTATTATGGGTGCTACATCAATATCTATGGGAACAATCAAATACTTTGAATTGCTTCAATACTATTATAGATATTCAAGACTTCGTATTGTTTTAATAAGACATCTTTCTTTCCTTAAAATTATGGTTGTCTTCTACGGTTTATCCTTGTAATATATGTTATGTTACTCTAAGTCTAACATAAACTTTATTTAAGTGGTTAAAAAAATAGAAGTCCTCTGTACCCAAAAAAAAAAAAAAAAAAAAAAAAAAAAAAAAAAAAAAAATAGAAGTCCTCCAATCACACTTACGATGACAATATTTTTCAAATTATTCTTCATGAATAGGTTTTAATGCATTCTTGAGTCAAACATACAATTATGAAAATAATTTATTCTGTTTTTTATTTTTTTTTATTATTATTATTATTATTATTATTATTATTATTATTATTATTATTATTATTATTATTATTATTATTATTATTTTCTTTTAGTGAACTAAAAAAATTAAGTGTACCGATAATAAGTAACTCTTGATTGGAACCATCAAGGCATCAACGCACATCCAAGCAAATACAAATGGTGTGACTTGTGAGATAGTCTAGGCCATAATTCAATTACACAAAAAGTATTAATCAATAAGACGATTCAAGTGCCTCGAACTATATGGGCCTTATTCTAAGGGGAAACTGGGCCACTGGAATGTGTCGGTCATCTTTAGGTCCATGGCAAAACTATGTGGGCCATTGCCACCCTAGTAACTAGGGGTATAATTCGGCTCGGCTCATTAACTTGACGACCCAATAGTTGAGTTTTAGTTTACCTCCTTTATCAGCGATCCAAACTATGGAACGTTATATCAGAAATTATCTTTTCGAACTGACCGGAGCTTAACTTGTTAAATAAACGAGTTTTAAACGAGCTCGAGCTTCGCTTTCTTATCAAACGAGATTCGTCTTTATTCTAATAACTATGATTATCTTGAATCTTGATAAGTTATCAGATCTATAGATCTACAAATTCAGATGTGAACACAAGAGAGAATCGAAGAACAATGAAGAAGAAACTGCGTTTGTATATTAGGGTTTCAGAGAATGAAAAAGTGATTACAAAATAAGAGGAAAACCCTTATTTATACTCTACTTATTAATACTAAAAGTGCTAATAGAAAACCAACTAGGAAAGGTAAAACACACTTTATACATCTTATTACAAAAGTGTTAAAAGGAAAATTATATACTCTATTACCCCCCCGCAAGAGGAGCATGGATATTGGGCATGCTCAACTTGGAAAGGAGATGATGGAACAAAGGGCCAGG